CGGCGTAGTGTATTATGAACTGTTAAAACCGACTGAAACAATCACAGGCGATTGGTATCGAACGCAATTGCGTTTGAGCCGAGCATTGAAAGACAAACGGCCGCAATACAACGAGAGACACGATAAAGTGATTTTGCAGCTCGACCCCATGTTGCGAAAGAGGTCAAGACATACTTGGAAACGTTGAAATGGGAAATCCTACGCCACCCGCTGTATTTTCCAGACGTTGCTCCCTCCGACTATCACTTGTTTCGATCAATGGCATACGGCCTGGCTGACCAGCACTCCCGGTCTTATGAAGAAGTAAAAAATTGGATCGATTCGTGGATAGCCTCAAAAGATGCCCAGTTTTTTCGATGCGGGATTCGTACGCTGCCCGAAAGATGGGAGAAAGTAGTGGCCAGCGATGGACAATACTTTGAATCATAAATATATAACCAGTTTTTACAATAAAACCTCGAATTTCGGAAAAAAAACGGCGGAAACAAAGTTGTACACCTAATACTTTGAATATGTTAATTTCATTAAATTATAAAATTAGAATGTTGAAATTAAAATGAATATTGAACCCTTTAAATATCGCATTATTTTTCAATTACGTTGATAAAATTATTAGAAATATCGTAAAAGAGAAAAATTAAAAAATTACGTGCGATAAGCATTATAAAATTATTATTGACATACAAATCAAACAATTATTTCAGTACGTCGAATTCTGAGAGCGTTTCTTACAATTCGACGTACCGAAATACTTGTTAGACTTAATTGTACGTCAATAGGCTTATACACTTGTAGCATGCAATTATATTGTTCAATTTCTAGTTTTTACAAAAATTTTTTGATATCTAGTATGACCAAATTCTGTCTTTCTAGGGATTCTAAGTGAGTGCAATTTATCTAATGCCTTAATGATGGATGAACTGCACTCACTGCATCCATAACCAAGAAAGTCAGCTGCTTGCCGCATGTAAACACAACTTGTGTACGGACTTACAGACGTATTTTTTTCTTCGTATGATTTTCAATCCCCGAATAATCAGTCGATTGTCAATGATTAAATGATAAATCGGTTAATAAATTCCTCGTTTTATCAAGTGAATGTAATCGAAATATTAATATGTTGAAACGTGACAATTTATAAAAGGAGAACCTCATCGTGGAAACGTACGTATAATATTTGGTATCTATGTATTTAAAGACATTTAATATTTGAGTGAAGAGAGTGAATTACAGAAAACCGTTGTGTCGAGCACTATTACAGCATTCAAACTTATTCCTCCAGTTTCGAGAAACTAGAGAAAAATAGAATCATTGAATATCTAGAAGGTAATAACACAAATAATAAGCTTTTAAAGTATCTGGCTTATTTTTGTTTTAAACATTCATAACTCTTTGATTAAGAAGCGTGATCGCGTTTCTCATAAGACTTCTCATAAGTATGTAATAATTGCTACGAACGCGGGCGCGAATAAAACTGTTAGAGAAATTTTTGTAAAAATGAGAAACATTGAACAATAATTGCATGCTATAAGTATAATATATAATTAGGTGTACCTAATTGCCTATTGACGTACAATTAAATCTAACAAGTATTTCGGTACGTCGAATTGTAAGAAACGCTCTCAGAATTCGACGTACTGAAATAATTGTTTGATTTGTATGTCAATAATAGTTTTATAATGCTTATCGCGCGTAATTTTTTAATTTTTCTTTTTTACGATTTACGATTTTAGATATTTCTAATAATTTTATCAATGTTGTTGTATGTTTGTGACACTGATGTCACCTTGTCTGGAAGGCTCGCCAAGGCGAAGTATAATAACAACGATTCTCTTTGTTATAATGATTCGAACCTTTATTGTTGAGTCAAATTTAAGATGTATTCAAAATGGGCGATAAGCGAAGCTTGTAGACTGATAACTTGTGCATTCGTTAAGATGCGTGCACCGATAATTCGCGCACATTACTGTCTGCCTTCGCGGTGAGCGTATACTGAGAACGTTAGGTAATAAAATGCAGCGGCAGAACATCAGGGTGATTCGCATTTTGGCTTCGGGATAAGAAGCGTTACAATGAATAGATGATCCGTATTGATCGGGATTGGGAAGGGAACTGATTTCTCGCACGCGGAATGTGTGCGCGATCGTCACCTTTCCGAATGTCGCGCACGGGGAGAGGGGGGGGGGAGGGTCTCGTGCCTGATATGAGAAAAACAGCGTGATTAGAGCGAGATATACATATTTAGAATGGTGACGGCTTGATGTCTAGACAGACTGAGCGTCTGTTTACTTATCATCGCCGAGAATACATTCAAATCAATGATTATTCCGGAACAAATATAATTGAAAAACAATGCGATACTTAAAGAGTTTAATATTTGTTTTAATTTCAACATTCTAATTTATAATTTAACGAAATTAACATATTCAAAGTACCAGGTGTATAAGTTTAAATCCGCTGTTTGCTCATAGGTGGCATTAGTGAGCGTACAAAGCTACTCTGGGCACACAACACACTTTTTTTTATGTATTTGACATCTGTCATTAATCAGTGCACATCATCAGCAATTTCATACAACAACATACATTTTTTCTTTCGTAAACATGTCTATTTTGCTAAAAAAAAAAAGCATATGTGGGAAGTTTTGCTTTTCTGTTTCAATTTGAAGAAATCGGCTGCCGAATTGCATTGAATGCTTGTGGAGGCCTATAGCGACAATGCTTTATCGGAAACAACGTGCAGAGATTGGTTTCGCCGGTTCAATGACGACAATTTTGACCTGAATGACAAGAAGCATGAAAATCGACCCAGGAAGGTTGAGGACTGCAGGCTCTTTTGGACAAGGACGATATCCAATCGCAAAAAATGCTTGCTGAGCAATTGGGTGTTTCTCAAGCAGCCATTTCCATGCGGCTACATGCCATGGGGAAGGTTCAAAAGATCGGAAAATGGGTGCCGCATGAACTGAACGATAGGCAGATGGAGCGACGCCAAAACACATGTCAAGTTCTGCTTGCCAGACAAAAAAGAAAGTCGTTTTTGTATCGGATTGTGACAGGCGATGAAAAGTGGATCTATTTTCAGAATCCTAAACATAAGAAATCTTGGGTTGATTCCGCCCAACCATCAACATCTTTCTCAAGAACCAAATCACTTCGGATGGAAGACGATGCTGTGCGTTTGATGGGATCAGGAGGTTGTTTACTACGAGCTGTTAAAACCTGGTGAAACTGTTAATGCTCACCGCTACCACCAACAACTGATCAAATTGCACCGTGCTATGCGTGAAAAAAGACCACGTTATCGGAAAAACATGACAAGATGATTTTCCGCCACGACAACGCACCATCGAACACGTCAACAATGGTCCAAAACTATTTGGAGACACTCAACTGGGAAGTGCTACTCCATCCCGCTTACTCACCTGGCACCTTCTGACTATCACCTGTTTTCGTCGATGGGCCTGCGATCATTGAGCGGCATTTCGATTTTTACGAAGACGTCCGAAAATGGCTTGATGAATGGTTTGCCTCGAAAGATGAAGCATTTTTTTGGCGTGGTATACACAAATTGAAAGATGGGAAAAATGTATAGTTAGCGAGGGCAAGTACTTTGAATAAATTTGTTTTTGCTTTCTAGGAAAAAAAATGTGTTTTTCTGACTAAAAAACAGCGGATTTAAGCTTATACACGCGGTATGTGAAAGAGATAAGAGTGATAGAGGGGAAAAGTAAGAAGAAACATATTTTTATAAACGTGTGAATGTGTTCAGTTAGTATGCCCTCTGCGCGTAAAGTCTAACCCGACGCGCCCGTGTCTAACCCTGAGTGTTGTTGCTGCTCGTCTCACGCGACCCGTGACATGCTAACTATTTCTTCTTGTAATTTAAAAATTAAGTTTCTGGCAAAATTTTTGCAAAGAAAAAATCGTCTTATAATTAAGTCTTATAATTAAGGAATATGACACTTCAAGGATAAATGTTTATTCTGAATCACTTTATATAGCTCACTACGCAAGTTATATTACTAAACAAGCGAAACGGAAAATGAAAAATCAAAATATAATACTGGAAGTAAATTATAACATTATAAGTAGGTGGAAATAATAAAGTACGAGGCACACAACAGTGTACAATGTTCGATTCTTATTTTTATTTCGAAACATCAAAGTTTTCCGACATTCAAAGTCAGTCAGCAGCACGATAAATCGTTGATAAAACGACCGTTAATTATTATCGATTCATAAAGCATTCCCGCGATGGCAAACCCCTTCCTTTCAAATTCATCAATTTGCGTATCGACGGTATATTCGGGCTATAGTTTACGCTATCCTCATTGATCATGTAAATATTTTCGTCGAATATCTTGAGTGTAAAGTAAAAACGAATTACAATTGGTAATATTAAATAGTAAATAATTTTGATTCAGCCATTGATGGGCGCCGGGAGAATTACTTGCAGGAGAGCGCATCTAGAAAAATTCAAATTCGAAACATTTTTAAATAGCCAAGACGATTTAAATTTTTGTTCCAACATTGAGCTTTTTAAAATTGATTTTTCAGTTTTATTATAAATGTTAATTAATGTTTATGCATTTAGTTTCTGTTTAATTGAAAATATTATTTTTCATATTACGCGATTTTTTTTTCTGTGGATTTTCTATTCCTCTCATTTTTAATGAGATAAGAAGGTATAAATGCATCTCCTTGTATTCCCTTCGTGGCGCCCATGTTTAATACTGTTTTTCGACGATGGTTATGAGACGAGCAGCGCAAATCGAGCTTTACTTCCGATTCGCGAAGCGTAAATCTAAAGCGATGCGTACATTGATAACATTCATTGATCTAAAAATGTCTTCGACATTCGAGAGTAGGAAAGGAAAGTAGGAAGAATTTGGAGCATCGAAGACTCCGATTTATTATCTTATTTCCACTCTCTTACTCTCTCTCTCTCTCTCTCTCTCTCTCCCCTTCCCCCCTCTCCCATTCTCTTCCTTTCTCTTTTTTCTTTCTGTTTTGAGCATACTTTTGCTTTCATATATCTTCTATCATATCTATCATATCATTATCTTTCGCATGCGCATTCTCTACATTCTTGTCTTTCTTTGGCACAAAGTCATCCGGCACTAAGTAGCTTAGCGGTGACCAGCAGTGGATGCCTTCTTCACCGTGGCCATAGTATCGGTATGAAAAAAGACATCGATAGGATGTGCGACAAGCTGCTACTTCCGTAGAAATCGCCGACGCCGCTACTGGCACCGGAACTTTGAGCAGCTTCAGCTAAACCTAGAAGAAAATTATACCTTTTCACTGAAAAAAAAATGCATAATCGATAGCGGTCGCGATTGCACTGGGAATCAATCGGGCGCTGAACCTTACCGAAATAAACAATAGGATTGATAATGCTTATGAATAATAAATCTGCTATTTATACTTACCACCGATAATGGATACGTGATCCTTCACTCGAGATCCTCTTTCGAAACCAATTTTAATTTCTGAAAATGGACATAACTTAAATTTAAAAACCTTAAAGTATATAAAAGGCGTATAACAGGCGTTATAACTGACAGATTAACTCACCATACAATCTCAAAGTGCCGTCTGCTTTTCCTAGGCTATTTGTTGAAACGCATTTGTAACTACCGACATCTCTATCCGTAAATTTTTTGATTAAGAGCCACATCAGGACCGTGTATCCCGTTCGTTCCTCCCGCACGTTGTATTTCGGTCTACGAATCATACAAATGTTATGTTAAGTATTAGAATATTCTAGAATGGAAAAGAAAATGCTGGGCAAAAAACGGGAGAGAAATAGAAAAAAAGAAATGGAATTTCCGATACGGATGTATGAGTGAGAAGTTAAGCGATACTAGTAATGAGAAAAAAAAGCTGAAAAAGAGATAATTCGACAATAAAAAAATGTGAAAAAAGCGCGCAAGAATAGTGAGAGGCAAGGAGAGTTTCTTTGAAGAAAGAGTTTCTTTGGAGTGCAAGAGCAAACAGAGAAAGTAGAGAAGGAATCCTGGAAAGAAAAGAAGGGTTAGAACCAAAGCGCATAGAGAATAGCGGGGAGTAAAAATAGAAGTTGTTTTCCAATAAGGACACAGTCAGATACAGTGTAACACAGAGAATCATTATATCCTTGTTGTTTGCCTAAACAAGGATGAAACAATTCACTGTGTGACAACAATTACGAGTGTGTTACTTAGTGTCTGACTGTGTCCTTACTGAAAAGTATCCAGAGACTAGAGAGGAAGGTGCGCTTCGATCGACGAAGAGACACTTAAATAATGCTCCCACACAGAACGCTTCTGGCGGGCCTGCCGCCGAAGATCTCCTTTCTAATCTCTGAGTACTTTTCAGTAAGGATACAGTCAGACACTAAGTAACATAAGAGATATGCGAACTTCGAGTATTTGCAAGAACATGACGACCTCCATGATTTGTCATGTGTTTGTATGTTTGTAAGTACAAATTATTAAGTTTAGATAATAATGATTCATTATAAAATGTTATGCCAAAAACTAATATTATAAAATTATGCCAATAAATAATATTATAAAATTAATGTGAAAATATTGTAACGTATTCCTAACTTATAATGTACATGACTTTATAACGCATAATAAATAAATAAAAGTGATATCTTGAAAATAATAATACGGCTATTGCATGTCAAATTGTAGAAATTCAGGGATTTTTTTATGAAATATTTCCCAAAAGATCGAAAGAAGGGCTCAATGAGTTGTGAATATTCCACGAGTGAATTACCTATAGATTCTAGTTGTATTTATATTTACATACATTTAGCGAAGTGAATATATTAATATATATATATTAGGTGTACAACTTTGCTTCCGCCGTTTTCTTATAGATGGCTTTAGCGGTAAGTGGTCGAAATAAATAGATCATAGACGTCATATAATAAACTTGGACATCTGTCAACATAATAGAAACATTAGTCGATTTGTGTCTGCATCATAAAGTTATTCTCGATTGAAAATGTCAATTTACGAGCCAAATTCTCGTCATTTGCGGGAGGTTTTAATTTTTTGCTTCAATATGAAGAAATCTGCGGCTAAGGCTCATCGAATGCTCTCAAATACTTATGGTGAGGCCGCTATTAGTGAAAGAACGTGTCGTGAGTAGTTTCAACGCTTCAAGAACGGTGATTTTGACGTCCAAGATCATGCTCTGTATTTGGTGGGATCAGCTCGGCGTAGTGTATTATGAACTGTTAAAACCGACTAAAACAATCACAGGCGATCGGTATCGAACGTAATTGATGCGTTTGAGCCGAGCATTGAAAGACAAACGGCCGCAATACAACGAGAGACACGATAAAGTGATTTTGCAGCATGACAAACTCGACCCCATGTTGCGAAAGTGGTCAAGACATACTTGGAAACATTGAAATGGGAAGTCCTACCCCACCCGCCGTATTCTCCAGACGTTGCTCCCTCTGACTATCACTTGTTTCGATCAATGGCACACGGCCTGGCTGACCAGCACTTCCGGTCTTATGAAAAAGTAAAAAATTGGATCGATTCATGGATAGCCTCAAAAGATGACCAGTTTTTTCGACGCGGGATTCGTAGGCTACCCGAAAGATGGGAGAAAGTAGTGGCCAGCGATGGACAATACTTTGAATCATAAATGTATAACCAGTTTTTTTACAATAAAGCCTCGAATTTCGGAAAAAAAACGGCGGAAGCAAAGTTGTATACCTAATAATTCGTAACAAGTAACGAATAAAAATAACGAGTAAAAAGTAACATTAATTACTTTTTTAGTAACGAATGTCTTTCAACCTGTTACAAGCAACGTTTGACTTCTCTAACTCTGATGTTATTATAAAAAATTCACAGTGCCATTATCATCGTTATTATAACAAGCTAACGATTAACAAAGTAATAGCGTTACAACTTACAAATAATGCATTATTTGCCAATTCTATAAATAATTATAATTATGAGTAATTGTGATTTTTAATGATGTAAATACAAGTGCATTATTTTTATGTATCAATTGCATTATCTTTTAATAGCCCTTGGATTATTTTTATTAAATTATTAAATATAAATTGCGTGTCAATTTAAATTGTATAATCTACGTACAACTCTATATTTAACTTATAATTTTGCTTAACAAAATTATAAGTTAAATATATGTGAATCGACATTTACTTTAATTGCAATTATTTTAATTGCAATTATTTTAATTGTAATTACAGTATCATTGCAACCAAAAATTACTTGAATTGCAATTACAGTATAATTGAAGCGTAATTGTAACTACATTGTAATTATAATTAAAATAATTACAATTGTAATTAATTACACTTATGATTCAATTATGCCCAACTCTTTAGCGAGGCGATACATTGGCACATAAAAAATATCGCTTTGCTGCTCTGCTATTTGATGCTTGCTACGTCTAATCTGAACTAAGTATTAGTTATTATTAGGTTATTAGTCGTATTATTTTTCTGAAATTCCATTTTTCGAAATTTCGATTGTAATGAAGAAGCACTCTTATTTTATTGAGGTAAGGCAGCGAAAGCATCAGCACTAATTTGTCTACACACAACTCTTATTTGTCAAAGTGAAATAAGCGACGATTGATCCCAACCCACTCTCAACTATGGGGGGTCTGGGGTTTTTCGTGATTCGAAATAAAACATACACATATAATTGATTCTATCTCTCACAATTCATAATCAGAATATTTCTGAGTATTTTTGGAAAATGTTCCAATTTATATAAAAATTATAAGAAAAATTTTCATAAATTGAGAAGTTACCATCTTTTTACATTAATGTTCACAGTCCATGATTAACGATGACTAAATGTGGAAACACAATAAAAAACCAGATTCTTTCTGGAAATCCTTGTGAAAATTTTTCTCAGGATTTTTCATATATGTTAATTATAAAATATCGTAAGATTTCTAAGATTTTATGTAAGTATAATTTCTGATAAAATGTTATAAAATCTAAAAAATTTGAAAACATTTTTTAAAAATTATGGGATAAAAAATTTGAATTCAGAATTTCAGAATTCACTTGTATGAAAAATTCTAAGAGAAGATATAAACTTTCCGAGTATTTCTGGAAAATGTTCCAATTTGTATAAAAAATATGAGAAAAATTTTTAAGGAAAATACAGACAATACGAACAGAAAATAAGGATTTCAATCTATCAAGAAACATTCATTCTAGTATATATAGTTTCCGATATGTTAAAATTTGTTATGTTTTCTGTTTTCATTGCATGTGCTTTTCATTGTGCTTGTAGCTTAAAGTTTACGTCCGCTTAAAATTACATTTGACATACAAGACGAAAAACTGAATTTTCAGAAGTTGTAAATAAATAAACAGAATGGATGTAAAAGAATTTGATAGTTATTATTACATGTAAGTGCGTAAGGTTCCCGCTCCTTCCCCTCCCATGTAAAACCAAAGTTAATTTATTGTTATAATTTATTTTTAAAAATAATGTAACTTCGTCAAAAATCAATATTGAGATGTTTAAAACAGCATTTTAAAGATTGAAACTTCTACTTTTTAGATCGGTACTTAAAGAATCGGTCTTAATGATATTTTGTAAAGTTACATAAACATAAATGAAGACGCATCAAATCTTAAAAATTTTTACGAAATTTGCGAAGTTCTACAGCGCGAATTAAAAATTGTACACAAATGCGATTTATATCATTTGAAAGAGTGAATCTTTATCTTTAATTTCTCTTTTTATGAAACTTCGATTTTCTTTTTCACCGCGTTATTCAACATTGAATCAAAAATGACTTTTTTTTGTTTCAATATTGAATAACTCGAAAGAGTTCAATGAAAAAGTAAATTAAAGGTAAAGATTCACTCTTTCGATTGCTGTAAATAACATTTTTGTGTGAATTTGATTTTACGCCTTTGTAAAATTTGTACAAAATTTTCACATTTTACGGATACCCATATGTGTACGTATAGCTGCATAAAGGATCAGTCAGATTGAAATATCAATTACCGATTTCGAAAGAGAAAGTAGAGTTTAAGCTTTAAAATGCTTTAAACATCTCGTTTTATACATCTCTTTTTTAAACCTCTCAAAATAGTCGCGAAGCAATATTCGAAAAAGCATTTTTAAAGCCATAACAAATTTTTGTAATTAAGTTAGTAAGTTCAACACTATTCGGCGATCCATCATTAAATCTAGATCTAAATTCAATCAAGCAAATCTGGGACTTTCTTGACCGCCGATTGAGAAATCTTTCGAATCTATAATTTGTATTCTCAAAATTTACAAGAATTGAGTGATATTTTGCAACGAATCTAGCATGAAATTTTACAGAATTTAATCCGGCAATTTATCAACATGCAAATACGCTGTCAAGAAGTGATTTGTCATAGAGATAGTAATACTCAATTTTTAACTGTGCACACACACACACACACACACACACACACACACACACACACACACACACACACACACACACACACACACACACACACACACACACACACGCACACGCACGCACGCACGCACGCACGCACGCACGCACGCACGCAATTCTTGTTTGAGTATCCAGCTAAGTACAATAGATGATAATGAAGTTCCTAATTTTGGACAATAGCCTAACGATGATTGAACTGATAGCATTTGTCTTATTGTTTTACAACGCATCAATTTTGATAAGTGGTATTGTTACATTGAAGATAATATAATCTTAT